TTTTTTACTATGTATACAATTGGGGTACATAGTACGAATAAAGGAATTGAGTTGTCCAATGTGGCATGCCCTTCTTAGAATAAATGCTGATTTTCTTTCTCTTTTAAACCAGGAATAAAAACTCTTCATTAATATGGCCAATGTATCTCATTAATTTACTTGAAAAATGTCAATTTTTCAATTATATCACTAGTAGTCCCAAATATTTAAAAAAAAATCAGGTACCATTAATTTCTACATAAATTTATCAACTTATGAGAATAACTTTTTATTGTATCCCATTTATGATATAGCTGGCATCAAATAGCATAGGGAATTGACATCTTTGTGTATGTTTGTGTGTGTGTGTGTGACTTATGACTTTAGATTTTTTTCCAGATTCAGTTAAAGAACACCTGTAAATCCTGAAAGTAAATGTAATTTATTCCCACTGCAACTGTAACACATTTTATTAGTCTGCTAAGGCTCCTGTAAGAAAGTACCAAAAGCCAAATAACTTAAACAACAAAAACTTTTTGTTTCCCTGTTCCCAAAACTCGAAATCTGAAGTCAAAAGTATCCGCAAGGTCATGTTCCCTCCTAAAGTACTAGAAAGAGATCTGACCCAAGCCTCCCCTTTAGTATCTGGTGGTTTCCTGGAAATTTTTACTTTCCTTGGCTTGTTTAAGAATCACTCCAATGTCTGTTTTCATCTGCACATAATGAACTCTGTGTGTATGTGTGTGTGTGTCTGTATCTGTGTGTGTGTTTCCAAATTCCCCATTTTTATAAGGACACAATCATATTAGAGTAGTAGCACTTTATCTTAATTAATTACATCTCCAATGACCCTATTTCCAAATAAGATCACCTTGACATAGTGGAGTCTAGAACTTCAACACATGAACATTGAGGGGAAACATAGGTATGTTTGGTTTTAAACCATAACACACACCCTGAAGGATTCTATTTTTTAGATTATCTATTTTTTAATAAAAAGTCTTTTTTTTTCCTAATGTAAAAGAAGTCCCAAAAACACTAATGGTTCTTAAAATGTTGCCATCTAGACTTCAAATACATAAGGAAGATGTGTATATATTTTTCTTTTGGCCTGAAACTTCCCTACCAATTCCTCTTGTAGGAAATCCTTGAGCAGTTTGGCAAGGGACTTATTTTCCATCCCTGCTCTTACCTTTCACCTCCACTGTATCAGAGGCAGTCTGATATTTGGTTGGGCTATATGCTCTACACATACATGTGTTCCCTTCAAACAGCAATCTGTGTACTCAGAGTGGTGTCCTGATACCTTCGGATGCCACCAGAGTAGAGTGATGCAGGTAATTTCCTCTTTATTGCTTCACACACATTAGAATTGCCCAGTACCTATGAAACCTATTATATAGACATGTGTGTAACTGTTAATGACCATATATTTTGATTAGGGTATAAACTTAATATATTTTCTTTTTCTCTCCAGGAACCCATCTCTGCTCACTTCTCTGTGCTACTTTAAACCATCACTTAGGCAATACCACCAGGCTACCTTTCTTTCTTTTCTATCTCCTTTCCTCATTGTTCTTTAATTCACTTGTCGCTCCATTTATGCCTTGCAGCATTCACGTAACAAAGCTCAACTTTTATAGACACTTCAAGCCAAATAGAACAAATTTTTTTCCATTGCTTTTTTGTCATGTGGTGATCCAGCCTATTACTGCAAATGAGGTGTGATCTTGCACTACTTGTCTTTCTCAGATTTCTTTATGGAATGACTGACTCTGGGCCATTTTTAAGACATTAAAAACTATTTAAAACCTAAATAACTACTGCAAGGCTAGCACAAACTTTAAAATATAAGGATTTTGTAAGTGTGGCTTCTTTTTTTAATTTTTTAAATACTAATTTATTTTTGAGGGAGTGGTGGACACAGAGCCCAACACGAGGTTCAAACTCACAGACTGTGAGATCGCGTTCTGAACTGAAGTCGAACGCTCAACCAACTGAGCCACCCAGGCAGCCCTAGCACACCCCAGGCACACTTTAAGAAGTGTGTCTTCTTAAAAGATGACTATTATTTTTTAAAAATTCTTTTAGTATTTTTTTTTGAAAGACAGATGCAGAACACGAGTCAGGGAGGGGCAGAGAGAGAGGGAGACACAGAACCCAAAGCAGGCACCAGGCACTGTGCTGTCTGCACCTAGACCAACATGGGGCTCGAACCCACCAACCACAGAGATCATGACCTGAGCTAAAATCGGATGCTTAAACAATTAAACACATGTGCCCTAAAGGTGACTATTATTTTAATGCTTTCTTACATAGTGATGCTGTTCTCTCCTATCTGAATCTCAGTAACCCCTATATACCAGGTACAATCAGCATTTTTCCTATCAGACCAAAGATTTGACTGATACAATTTTATAACATATTAGCCATATTATGGCTTTTTACACTTAAAGAGCTTATCTGGGCACCTACTATAGATTTTAATTTTTTTCAATGTGATACCAACAAAAATGCCTCCTAAACCTACTTTTATTTGTATATATATATATATTTTTTATTTGGAGATTGGTATTCTCTGAACAGGTTGGAGAGATGAGTATGAGGTATGGAACAAGTTTTGTGACATCACATAAAAAGTAATTAATACTCTATAAACATAAGACTAATTAAAACTAGAGATGAAAGAGGTAGTACACATGTAAACTAATTCTGAATTTTAATGGAGCCAGAATGTGTAATGCTATAATGAAGGAAATAATGATGCCCACACAAGCCTAAATATAGCTTCTAAGAGTGGAATATCATTGAGGCCAGAAAACATTTTTGTCTTTTATTTAAACTTTTAATTTTGAGATTATAGACTGCATGCAGTCATTAGAAATGAAATGGTTGGGGCTCCTGGGTGGCTCAGTTGGTTGAGCGGCCGACTTGGGCTCAGGTCATGATATTGCAGTTTGTGATTCAAGCCTTGCATTGGGCTCTGCACTGACAGCTCAAAGCCTGGAACCTGCTTTGGATTCTGTGTCTCCATCTCTCTCTGGTTCTCCCCACTCACGGTCTGTCTGTCTGTCTCTCTCTCAAAAATAAATAAACATTTAAAAAGTTTAAAAAACAATATGGACAGATCCTTCATATCCTTAATTCTCAAGACTGTGAAATGAACATAATCTTTCAATATATCAACTTTTGGGATTGCCCCCCCCGCCCCCTACTGGGAATAATTCCCTAACGATTCATCCAATTTGTTACACGTATCAACAGGGTGTTTATTTTTATTGCTGGGTAGTATTCCATGCTATGAATGCATAGTTTCTTTAACTGTTTTCCCAGTAGAGTACATGTGGGTCCTTTCCAGCTTGTGTCTACTACAATTAATGTTGCTGTGAATGTATCTGAATATTTGCAAACATGCTTTTATGTGAACATAGTTTCCATTACTTTAGCATAAATGCCCAAAAGAACAATTTGGTGGGTTGTATGGTCAATGTGTGTTTGATGTTATAGGAATCTGCTAAATGTACACTTCCACCTGTGGTGTACAAGTAACCTAATCTCAGTGTTCTTGCCGCATTTAATGACACTATTGTGTTTTTTCATTCTAAGAGATTACTTTAGACATCACATAGTCCTCCCCTTCTGAGTATGCATAACTCCTCACCAGATTTCTGCTTATAATCTCAGTGTAAAACTACTTCTTAAGAGGCCAGAATCCTAACATATTATTAAAAGTCCATATACATTGATAACCTGCTATTAAGGATTGTCAGGTAAACATGGCAGACTAATTCTATTGAGTTTTCTAGGCTCCCTCAAAAAACAAGCTTTGCTTAAAGTTGCATTTGCATTTCCACGTGGAAGTAAAATTTTTGTAGTTAAACAGATATTTGACCCTTAATAAGTGTGCCATACCTAAATAATTCAAATACTTACTAAAATTAAGCACTGAAAATTGTCAGTGTGCCCATAGTCAAAGACCAAAATGAATGCAGAATTGCATACATACTTGATTGTGGAAAGATTTTATTTGCTACATAATATGAATTAGTAGTGGAATTTTTCTAGTTAGGCAGAGTAAAATATCAAGTATGCACTATTAGATGATTCATCAAGTACATTTCATGAATAAATGAGAGCTCTTCACCCACTAATTTTACAGTGGAGTTACATAGTCCTTAATAAATGGTTGTCTTGTTATATGTGGATCAATTTTCATTTGGGAATAATTGAAATATGATATAAATGTATCTTATTATGCAAACAGTATTTTTAAAATATAAACATAAAAGAAAATAGCATAATACATCCACTCATTTTACCACCTCAAATGTCAGTATTTTAAAGTTAATGAATTACTTTAAAGTACACTTTAATTTTAAAAAACAGCATAATAGGCATATTTTGATCTTATTGTAGAAAGATGATTATGTTGGTACTGTTTATAAGAATCTAAAGGAATGAGAACTGAGCCTTGGAGACCAATCAGGAGACTCATTAATAGTCCATGTAAGAAATAAAAAGAACATAAGTGAAGGAAAATGTTTGAATGTGCTATTTTGATGTCATTGATAATTTTATGTCAACTCATCCATATTCCAACCTAATCACAAACCATCCTGCCTCCCATTTTCTGAATAGTCATATAACATGCAACATATGCCCTCACCATACCTTTAACCTTACCCTCTAATTGAGTACAAGGTTGATCCTTGATCATCAACCCAACCCAACCCAACCCAACCCAACCCTGATTATGTGATTGTCAGAGGAGGCTTTTCGCAATGTTGACAGCACACAAAGAAATATATTAAAATATTGGAGACCAAATATTCTATGTTGTCCTCTCATCTGGTACATTTTTGATCATGGGGAAAAGGCAAGGGATAGTTTGATAGATAAATCCAAAAATTAAATTTAGCAGGATATGTCTACTCCATAGGTATTTCAGAATAGCCTTTTTCTGTGTACAAAGCTTGTGCTAAATGTTACCACCACTAAAATTTGTTTTCCTGAATGCACAGGTACCTCTGTCCTACAGGTGACAGCTACTGATGCAGATGACCCTACCTATGGGAATAGTGCCCGCGTAGTTTACAGTATCCTGCAGGGACAGCCCTACTTCTCCGTAGACCCTAAAACAGGTTAGTGCATCTATGTGTAATTTATGTGCAGATGTATGCTAGAGTAAAAAAGAAACCAATGTTGTTGTTTTTTTCTGTGTAGTCTCCTACATCAGTCATTGTTTTTTAGCACATTTTAAAATGCCCTCACTTTTTCTAAAACGAGGTAACTGAATAATTGATAAAGTAACTGTTTTTTTTAATATTTTGATTATTCATCATTTATACCCATACCAGTAAAAAGTTTATCTTTGCATATCCTTGCAACAATTACTCTCTGCTTAAAACAAATATGGAGTATTACATCAAATGAGATTTTCAAGTGTATTTTTTATATTATTTACGTATTAGTTTTAATTCTTTGCCAAAGAGGATAAATAATTTATTGAATGTTTCCCTTCTTTATTTAAATTTGATTGTCACATACGTTGTCATTTATTACATTGGGGGAACAGGTGTGTCTAGAACTCACATTTTTCCTAATGAGAAACCTCTTCAGTCTTCAAATATTGTGTTATATAAGAAAAATTAACTACTGCGAATAAAGACAACAACATATAAACTGTTGTTTTTTTTTTCCAGGAAAAATAGGTTTTCTTATTTCCTCTCCTTTTTCTGTCCTAAACAAGGATATCATGTTATGTGATGTCAAAATGAGAGTGGACGATACTTATTACTGCATTGTAGGCTCATGTTACGGCAGCATAATCTAAAAACCACATAAAGCTCATGGCCCCATTAACAAATAATTTATTAATAAAAATCTAATGAAACATACATTGATTTTGAATATAGACAAATGTCCAGCAATTAAAATTTAGATTTAAAGATATACATAGTCATGAGACACAGATGAAGAGAGAGAGCGAAGATATTCGAGAGACTCCTATGTCCTTTCTAGTTACATTAGATTCATTCTGAGTCAGATGAACATGTGGGATTATCAAGAAGTAATGGCCACAGCCACATAACTAACACAGAAGAAAGCTAGGTTTGGTTTTAAATATCCCCTTATACTCACATAAATACATAGCATACAAAACAGTTTCCAAGGGACCCTGCTTCATAAGTTTATAGATTTCAGGTTTGTTACCACTATCTTAAATGAGATATATTCAACTGAAAAGATGCTAGCAGGTCCCCAACAGCCAAGACTATTGAAATGCTAAGAGTATTGTCAATATCATGTTTTCAAGAAAACTCTACCAGGTTGTGTTCTGTCTTTCCCTGGTATGCCCAAGTATACAGGACAAGAATAGATCTCAGGCATACTATTAACCCTTTAGTTTAGAATATATGAAGAAAATAATGAAGTATATATTTAGAGATAGGTAAAGGCAGAATACATACATACACATAGATCTATATATTTTGTGCATTATAATTATAAGATAAATATATAATAAAATGAAGTAAAACATAAAAATCAGAAGATGATGAAAATAATATAATGTGAACTAAAATGAGTATCAGATATGCAAGCTTATTGGGAGTCTGGGGGGCCCAGTCAGCTAGGCATCTGACTCTTGATTTCGGCTCATAGGTTTGAGCCCTGCACTGGGCTCTGTGCTGTCAGCACAGAGCCTGCTTGAGATTCTCTCTCTCCCATTGTCTCTCTGCCTCCTCCACTTGTGATCTTTCTTTCTCTTGCTCAAAATGAATAGAAACTTGAAAATATGAATAAAAAATAAATCAGCAACAGTCAATAATAGCATCTATGTATGAATGAACTCATAGTGAGTTTTTGCTACACCTGATAAAGACGATTGGAAGAGTTATCTAGTTTGATATAGATGTACTTATATTTTGATTTGAGCCAATTTTCACACAGCCTTCAGATATTTTTCCCATTAAATAATGAATATTTAAAAGAAAAATATAACAATAAAACATTTCTGTTGTTGACTTCTACATTTAATTTTCAGACATATAAAAAAATGGGGCTAGAAAAGGCAACCTTTTAATTATATACAGAGAGCATACTCGATATTCTTTTTTTTCCTAACACTTTTAAGGCATTTTAGCTCTCAAATGGTTTCTGCTACATGTTGCTAAAAAGTGTAGGCACTGGGTTTCAAATCTTTTCTCAAACATTTCTGCACTGATAACAGCCCTTCCACAGGTAATAGGACAGTGATATTGTACTTTAATTAATATAGTATAGTGCAGTAATTCATATTTGCTATTTTTCTAAAATACTAAGGTTTATCGAAAATGATTTAAGGATAATTCATGATCAAATCCTAGGATTTTACATAATATCATAATAAATGGATCAAGTGACTTAAATAGTATGCCCTGTGTCCTTGCCTAGAAATTTAGAATAATAACTAAATTGATTGAGAAGCATAATGCAATGATCTTAGCCCAGTCCTTGGAAAGATACAGGTAGGTAGTAAATTTCTTGTTTGCCTCACCCCTTTTAAAAATGTTTACTTATTTTTGAGAGAGAGAGACAGAGTGTGAGTGGGGGTGGCTCAGAGAGAGAGGGATACACAGAATCCAAAGCAGGGTCCTGGCTATGAGCTGTCGTCACACAGCCTGACATGGGGCTCAAACTCACAATCTGTGAGATCATGACCTGAGCCGAAGCCAGATCCTTCATTGACTGAGCCACCCAGGTGCCCCATGATTAAGATTAAAAAGAGTTTCCAAAATTGCATAGTGTACCATCACAAGGGTTTGAAATAGTCTTACCTGAAATAGGAAAAAAATAATTTTGTTTGAAAGAATTTTCAGTCCACATTGACTATATAAAATGTGAATTCTACATATTAACTTATATATACCTAAATTAACATTTCATTTCAAGCATTTAAAGAAAGTTTTATAAGTATTCTTATTAAGAAAAATACACTTTTAGAAAATTTGGGATGACAATTTAAAAGGAAGTAAGTTAGACATTAAAATAACCAACATTTTATCCTTAGAAATGACTGTCCCAACTGAAAATAGTGTCTCTGGATGAGATAAAGTGGCATGTGGTCCGTGAAACAATTGTCATTAATGCACAGGTCTTGACCAACAATAGCTCTGATTCTCTAAAAAGACCTTTCCTTAACTCTTGTAGCGGAAATCAATCAGCTATAAAAATGCACTCAGTGGAAGGCCTCAGTGAGTTTCTTAAAATGTAATTGAAACAAGGCTTTCAACTTTCTTTCTCCAGTGTACAGGATGTAATTAAATTCATCAACAATTTTGTTTCTATTTAACCTCTTCAATGTTATTTTAACAATGAACAAAAAATTGCTTGTGGAAGATCACTCTATATGTTTTGATAAAAAGTGTAAAGCATCTGTAAAAGTTTCATGAATTTCAATATTAATTTTGCATAATGCTATATGAAACTCTACTTGAAAATAATTTTCTTCTCCCAAAAGCAATATTTTGCTTATTAATAGCCAAGCAGTTAAAATATTTAATTTATGGTCCACAAAATCTGCAGAAGGGAAAAAGTTGTCCATAGTAGAATATCGTTTGCCAATTTATGTCATTCCATACCCCTCTCTAATTGATATAGCAACAATAATAATTGCACAAATAATTATAGATGCATTTTTAAATAATTTCCTACAATTAACTGCACGTATACAAAAATATTAATTAGAGAGCCTAGTGCTGAAGAATTTGCTTCTCTTAGAGAAAAACTAATGCATTAATTCAGAAGTGTGTTATGTTGCCAAATTACTGAAAGAAATGATATATCACTTTTTTTTAAAGAGAAGGCTTCTAAATAGTTTCTGAAGTGTAACAGAGTGTATGGGGCTTAACACAAGAAGCCCATTTTATATAACGTTTAAGAAATAGACAGTTAATGAACTATAGAATACACCAGCGGTTGTTCATGCAATAACAATTTCCCATTTTACCGGTCCTATTAGAATTCTAATTTTTGTTCCTTGTAGCAGCATCCTCAGTTAAGAAGCTAGAGTTCCCAGCCTCCCTGTAGCTACTGTGCCATAGTTGAAGCCAGTGAGCGATAAAAGAAACACCACCGGAGGCTTTCGGATATCTCTGTTTTGCGCCAGTGCTTCCTCACTTTGGTTTCCCATCTTCTGGATTCCAACATATGCATAATCACTGGGGGTACAACAAGTGTCTTGTAATCATGGGACGGTGAACACACAAGATGAAAGTCACATGGAAAAAATTGGCAACCAAAAGCCCGGCAGTAACGTCACTCTGGGTAATTTTTATGTGCAAACATAGGCAGTGCTGATACCTGGACTTTTGTGAAACGTGCTTTGCAGACCAGTAAGTCACTTCCCGGCACAGCGCACCACCCACACAGGCGTAGAGCTGGAGCTCCTAGACTATTTTTATTCCTCTCAACCCAGGGTACATGTTCCAGAGAGAGAGAAAACAGGGCTCTCTGTGTTTGAATAGTCATTTTACAGTCCAAGGGCCAATACTAACTGGAAAAGGAGATTTTTCACACTGACTTGAATATCAATAAGTATATTAATTATTGATATTCAGGAGAAATCTAAGAATAGAACCAGAGATAATATTCTCTGGCATTCCATTGAAAATGCATATATGAAAAATAATTTTATCTTCCATCAAGATGGAATGAGTACATTATATACACTATAGACCTCAGATAACTCCTACTCTATAGCAGGAAGGTCATCATGTCCTATTGACAGTAACAGAATTCATTATACCTATTGAGTTTAATTGCTATGGGTACAGTTCCAAAGAAAAAATATTATAGATTAGTGCTCTATGTTAGTGTAACACTATTTGTTACAGACTTAGATAGATCCATATAATCGAACTGGAATCCAACACTTAAGTGGATTTAATGGTATGTAAATTAAACTTAAATAAAGCTGTTAAATAAGCAAAAGAAAAAATGAAACCATTTTAATCCATTTTTTCAAGTATCAATTTCTTGTAACTATACTGACCAGCTGTTACCAGCAAGGGAAAAAAAAATAATCTCTTTGAATATAAAATAGTAGTGATAGGAAATAATAGGAATCAATGTTGGTTAACTTTAACATGTTTTATACTAT